GCCATGATGCCTTTAACCATAATTAAAAACTCTTCAGCATATAAATACCAGCTTAGTATCTCTTCTTGATTAGCTTTTATTGCGAGACCTTCTGCATCACTGGCTCTTTGATATAAGCAAATGATATTTTCCTTACCCGAGATAAGCGAAATTTCTGGAGGGTTGAGAGACAATGCGCATATAGAATCATTCTCCTGAATAGATGAAGGAGTAGTGGATTCATCAAAGTTGCGAGTAATTTCTTGAATTAATCCCTGCCTTTTTTTTGTACTCACGAGCTTTTCAGAAGAAGAGATACTAGAGGCAGTATCAGATATTTTTTGTAATGATACTTGATTTTCCACCGCTTTACTAAGTTTCTTTTCCTTATTACGTTTCCTAATCTCATTGCTAATGCTTTTCTTATGGACCTCAACCAAGAAAGCATCTGTCTCCATATCCTCCGATGTCTTCTCTTGATCTGGTACCTTTGGTATCTTTTCGATCTGCTCTGTTAATTTTAACTGATTATGAACTTTGTGAATAGGCGACGAATCAGATACAACAACTGATACCTCTGATGGCACTTCCTTATCATTCTCTGGCTGTCCATCCACTATCGGGGGATTCTGTTCCAATATCGCAAGTCTGGCTTCAAGCTCTTCGACTTTAGACTTGAGTTCAGTATTTTCAGCTTCACGTTTGGTATTCTCCTCAATAATCTGTCTTAATTTCACATTCTCGGTCTCAAGCTCAGTGACACGCTGTCTCAATAATTCAAGCTCGGATGACATGATTGTAGTCTGTTTTATACAGAAAGGGAATTGTTCAATATATCTAATGATACTTACATGAATACAAGGAAAAAATTCACGTGATTTCACCGACCTCGGGTCATCCAAATCCGCAAGAAAAAAAAATAACATTGAACAATGGGATCATAATATCATTGTAATATCGTTGTAATATATTTTTATTAATAATATATACAATCTATCTATTTTAACTTAATCAGATGTTACTGTTGAACTATCTTC